GTTGTACAGCTTTATGGGTTTTGACAGAAGCATAATGTCATGTGTCCACCATTACAATATCGTACAGAATACTTTCAATGTCTTTCAATAGGTGAATGGAAAACAAAATCTAGTATATCTATTACTCAGATATAAAAAGAAATGAGCTATTAAGCTACTAAAAGACATGGAGGAACCTTAAACATATATTACTAAGTGAAAGAAGCCCACTTGAAAAAACTGCATACTATATAATCCAAATTATATGACATTCTGGTAAAAGGCAAAACTACAGAGACAGTAGGGGCCCTGGTGGCGCAGTGGTTAAGCGCTAGGCTTAACCTGAAGGTTGGCAGTTTGAACCCACCAGCCGCTCCGCAGGAGAAAGATGTGGCAGTCTGCTCCTGTAAAGATTTACAGCCTCAGAAACACTATAGGGCAGTTCTATAGGGTCACATTGAGTTGGAATCAACTAGACAGCAACTGATTTTTTTTTTTTTTAATAGACACAGTGAAAAAATCAGCGGTTGTCAGGCATTTGGGGCAATGTAGAGGAGGAAGGGATAGATGGAACACAGGGCATTTTTAGGGTAGTGAAACAGTTTATCTGTTTTTATATTTCTGCTTTTGGTGTAAAATCTTAGAAACTATTGCAGAATGCAAGGTAACAAAGAGTTAATTTTATGTTTTCTTCTGAAAGTTTTATAGTTCAATCTCTCACATTTAGATTTTTTGAGTTAATTTTATATACGGTATAAGGTAGAGGTCCAATTTTATTCTTTTGCATGTGGATCCAGTTGTCCCAGCACCACTTGTTGAAAAGACTGTTCTTTCTCCAATGAATATCTTAATACATTTGTTGAAATTCAATTGACCATAAATATAAGGATTTTGTCTGGATTCTCATTTCTGTTCCAGTGATCAGTGGAATGCATGCCTTTTCTCATGCCAGTATGACATTGTTTTGATGACTGTAGCTTTGTAGTAATTTTTGAAATTGGGAAGCGTGAATCCTCCAACTCTATTCTTTTTCAAGATTGGGCTATTCTGAGTCCCTTGAATTTCCATATGAATTTTGGTATCATCTTGTCAATTTCTGCAAAAAGACAGCCAGGATTTTGATAGGGATTGTGTTTAATCTGTTTAGGAAGTACTGCCATCTTAACAATGTTAATTCTTTTAATTCATGACTATGGAATTTCTATTTATTTAAATCTTTGTTTCAATGATATTTTGTAGTTTTCAGTGTAGTGAAAATGTTGAACTACTTTTGTTAAATTTATTCCTAGTATTTTATCCTTTTTAATGCTTTTGTAAATGAAATTGATTTTTGTATATTGATCTTGTATGCTGCAGTCTTGCTAAGCTGGTTAATTTGAGCTAATTGTGTGTATGTGTGTGTATTAGGATTTTCTATACACAAGATCATGTCACCTGTGAAGAGAGACAGCTTTACTCATTCCAATTTGGATACCTTTTATTTCCTTTCTTGCCCAATTGCTCTGGCTAGAACCTCCAGTACAATGTTGAATAATAATGGTGACAGCAGACATCCTCATTTTGTTGAGGGAGAGCTTCCAGTCTTTCACCATTAAATATGATATCAGCTCTGGGATTTTTGTAGATGCTCTTTATCAAGTTGAGCAAGTTTCCATTTATTCCTAGTTTGTTGTTGTTGTTGTTTTTAAACATGAAAGGGTGTTGGATTGTGTAAAATGCTTTTTTCTGTGTCTACTGAGATAATAATGTGTTTTTTTCCTTCAGTTCTATTAATATGTTGTATTACATTAATTGGTTTTTAGATCTTAAACCAACTGTGTATTCCTGTGATGCTCCCACATCCTCTCATATCTTCCCTCACAGTCTTATTCACACATGATCCTCCTTTTCCATTATCACTGTACCATTATCCCTCTCTTACCACCAGTCTCTCTACCTTGCTTACCAACAGTAAACGAATTTTACACAGTACCACTTTTATGAGTTTACTTCAGGGCTCAGTAGCTTCCATCAACTTCATCTTCTCCTCTGGAAAAAATCTAATCTTTCTAGCATCTTAAAAAGTTGGATCCAACCTGAACTAGAGATCAGACCACTTGAGTCTAATTCCAACTTAATTCTTTTTTTTTTTTTTCTTAAGCAGTTTGTTTCATTAGTCACTATTACATTGAAAATTTAGCACTAAGAAAATTACTTCTTTGTTGCTTATTTTGGCGTTACTTTCTTTCAAAAATAATATTATTGTGTTTCAGGTGAAAGTCTACACAGCAAATCAGGTTCCCCTTTAACAATTTTTATACCAATTGTTACATGCATTTGGTTACAATTTTTACAATGTGTCGGCATTCTCATTATTTCCAATCTTTTTGTTCTGTTTCCACTGATTTAGCTTCCCTTTCCCTCCTTGCCTTCTCATCTTTGCTTTTGGGTAAATGTTGTTTGACCATTTGGTCTCATATAGTTAATTGTTTAAGGAAGCACATTACTCATGGGTGATATTGTTTATTTTATAAGCTAATCTATTATTTGGCTGAAAGGTGTCCTGCAGAAATAGCTTCAATTCCAAGTTCAAAGGGTATCTTAGGGTGATAGTCTTGGAGGGTTCCTCTAGTATCTATTGGTCTAGTAGGTCTGGCCTTTTTTAGGAATTTGAGTTTTGTTCTACATTGTTTTCCCATGCTATCTGGGACCTTCTACTGTGTCCCTGGTCAGAATGGTCGGTAGTGGTAGCCAGGTACTATCTAGTTCTTTTGGTCTCAGGTTAGGAGAGGCTGTGGTTTGTGTGGGCTCTTAGTCCCATAGACTAGTTTCTTCTTTGAGCCTTTGATTTCCTTCATTCTCTTTTGCTCCATACAAGTAAAGACCAATAGTTGTATGTTAGATGGCCACTCGCAAGCTTTTAAGACCCCAGACGCTACTCACCAAACTCAGATGTAGAACATTATCTTTGTGAACGATGTCATGCCAATTGACTAAGGTTCCCCTGAGACTATGGTCCCAAGCCTTATGACTAAGTGAATCAATCCTATGAGTTGTTTGAATATGTTTGGAAGCCTCCATAACTGTGACCCCTATGTACCTATTACCGTGGACTCAATTCCAACTCATAGCGACCCTACAGGACAGAGTAGAACTGCCCCATAGGGTTTCCAAGAGCGCCTGGTGAATTCAAATTGCCAATCTTTTGGTTAGCAGCCATAGCTCTTAACCACTACATCACCAGGGTTTCCTTGCCCCCTATATAGTTTGCTATAAACGTGGATATACATGCAGCACCAAACCCAACAAACTCATTGCTGTCGTGCTGATTCCAACTCATAGCGACCCTATAGGACAGAGTAGAACTGCCCCATAGGGTTTCCAAGGAGTGGCTGGTAGATTTGAACTGTTGACCTTTTGGTTAGCTGCCGAGTTCTTAACCACTGTGCCACCAGGGCTCCATACGCAGCACACAAACGTGTATATACATATGTCTACAGATACACCTATAAATGCAAGTGCATTTACTTGCATATGCCTTCCTGTACACATATATGCATCCATATCTACCTATGTAACCACACACATATTTTTTGGTTGTTTTTACTGTTGTTGCAAAATTGTATGTGTTCTAGCATTTACTGAAATTATCTCTTTTTCTTGTGTACTTGTACTTCTTAGTGTCTTTCTTTACCTTGGTCAAGTTGTGCTGACTTCATCCAGATTTGGGAATGCCTTTCCCATAACCAAAAGTAACAAGTGTCTACTATCTAGAAAGTGATTCTCCCTCCCTCTCCTTCCAATCCCTGGTACCCATCAAAGAACTTTGGTTTCTGTATGTATATCTATTCTTGATATTTTATAATATTTGTCTTTTGTGATTGACTTATTTCACTCAGCATAATGTCCTCCAGGTTCATCTATGTTATGTTTTGTGGACTCCTCATTATTCTTTACAGTTGTGTAGTATTCCATTGTATGTATGTGCCACAATTTGTTTACCCATTCATTCACTGATGGGCACTTGGGTTTTTTCCATCTTTTTGCTATTGTGAATAATGTTGCAATGAACATATGTGTGCTTATGTCTACTCATGTCACTGCTCTTATATCTCTAGGATATACAACTAGGAGTGGGATTGCTGGATCACAAGGTATTTGTTTCCAACTTTTTGAGGAAGCACCATACCATTTTCCATAGAGGTTGTACCATTTTACAATCCCACCAGCAGTGTATAAGAGCTCCAGTCCCCCCACAACCTCACCAGCATTTGTTGTTTTCTTTTTTTGATCATTGCCATTTTTGGGGGTGAGATGGTATTTCATCATAGTTTTGATTTGCATCTCTCTAATGACTAACGATCGAGAGCATCTTTTCATGTATTTGTTGGCTGCATGAATGTCCTCTTTGGTAAAGTGTTCGTTTATGTCCTTTGCCCATTTTTTGATTGGATTGTTTATCTTTTTGTTGTTGAGTTGTCAGAGTTCTCCATATTTTAGAAATTAGACCTTTATTAGATATGCAATTGCCAAAGATTTTTTTCCAGTCTGTAGTTTCTCTTTTTACACATTTGGTAAAGTCTTTTGCTGAGCATAAGTGTTTAATTTTTAGGAGATCCTAGTAGTCTAATTTATCTTCTGTCATTCGTGCACTTTTTAGTTTTGTTTGATAGTCTATTTATGCCAAAAATAAAGTCCTCTAGTTTTGACCTTATGTTATCTGCAAGGAACGTTATAGTTTTAGCTTTAACTTTTAGGTCTTTGATCCATTTGTGCACAGTGTGAGGTATGGAGCCTATTTCATTTTTATGCACATGGATATTCAGTTTTGCCAGCACCATTTGTCAAATAGACTGTTTCTTCCCCATTGAATGGACTTTAACCTTTTGTTGAAGACCAGCTGCCCACAGATGGATGGATTTACTTCTGAATTCTCAATTCTATTCCATTGGTCTATGTGTCTGTAATTGAACTGGTACCAGGCTGTTTTGGTTATCACGGTTGTATAGTAAGTTTTGAGATCAGGAAGTGTGAGACTTCCTACTTTGTTCTTCTTCAATTTTGTTTTAGTTATTCGAGGCCTTCTTCCTTTCCATATAAAGTTGGAGATTAGTTTTTCCATTTCATTAAAGAATGCTGTTAGTCCAGATTAATTCTTGTGGAACCATCCATATATATCCCACAGGGTTATATACCATTACTGAGCACCTACTCTGTGCTGAGCTTAGCA